AATCTGCCAAACCATGCTCGAGGAGACTGCTTTAACCCATACAACGCCTTTTTCAATTTACACACGTTCCCCGTTTCACCGATAACCCTATACCCTGGTGGAAGACTCATGTACACTTCTTCTTCTAATTTACCATGTAAGAATGCATTTTTTACGTCAAATTGCCTCAGGGTCCAATCCAAGTTTACTGCTAAGGACAACAAAACTCTGACAGTATTCATCTTAGCCACACGTGCAAAAGTATCATGATAATCAACTCCATATGTCTGAGTGAACCTTTTAGCTACTAATCTTGCCTTGTACCTCTCCACAGTACCATATGCATTATATTTAACTGTAAACACCCATCTGCATCCTACATTCTTCATTCCCTTTGGTAGATCAACAATGTCCCATGTATTATTTTTTTGCAATGCCTCCATTTCAATATTCATGGCTTCAGCTCACTTTGGATCATTAAATGCCTCCTCAACACGGGTTGAAATTTTAATATTATCCATTCTGGTCACAAACGCTTTGCACTCAGGAGATAACCTGTGATCAGACACATAATGGGCAATAGCATATCTCGCTTTGCCTTTTGGTGAGTAACGATAAGGTGAAATCCCACGGTTCCGTCTAGGCGGTAAAACATAAGAATTATCAGAAGTATGAGTAGAAGCACTTGCCTCAGGAATATCCAGGGGAGCTTGATCAGGTACTATTAGAGAAGCTTCATGGGGGGCAATTGATTCAGTGATAGTAGTGACATCAGTTAAAATAGCAGGTTCAGCTAGTGTAGCAGGTTTAGCAGGTTCTATCGGTTCTTTCCTTTGTGTCAAACTATCCAATACTACTCCCCCTTGTAAATCTAGCCAGATATGTCCTTCACTACTAGTTTTGCCTTGAAGAACATGCTCGGGTGTATCAGAGAAGAACATTTCATCCTCAACAAAGGTAACATCCATAGAGACATATAGACGTCGGGTTGCAGGATGATAGCATCGATAACCTTTCTGATGAGGAGAGACCTAGAAAGACACAACGGAGAGCACATGGGTCCAGCTTACTCCTCTGATTCTGATGGAGGTGAACATAGACGACACAACCAAACACCTTTGGAGACAGAGTCAACATAGAAGAGGCAGAGACTGATGGGTCAATACTTGCATAGGAGTTTGAAAATCCAAAACTCATGAAGGTAGACGATTCAAGACATAGATTGCATAGGTAACAGCATCCATCCAGAACCGCTTTGGAACTGACGCACCAAGTAGCAGAGCACGAGCAGTAGTAAGTATCTGCCCATTTTTACGTTCAGCAACCCCATTCTGTTATGGTGTTTGAGGGCAAGTAGTCTCATGGAATACTCCGTTAGTGTGAAAAAAATGGGATAACGCCGAATTAAAAAATTCTCCACCATTATCAGATCGAAAAACTTTGATAGGGAGCATAAATTGAGTCTGAATAATATGATAGAAACGCTGAAAAATTTTGACCACATCACTTTTATTTTTCATCCCATATAACCACATCATACGAGTGCAATCATCCACAAAAAACACAAACCAATGAACTCCCTAGGTTGTAGAAACCGGGGAAGGTCCCCAAACATCAGAATGAACTAAATCAAATGGCATAAGCTGTTTATTACAACTTGGAGGGTAGGATACCCGATGACTCTTAGCTAAAATACAAGTCTGATATTGAAAATCAGACTCGTTGACACCACTAAATAATGCAGGAAACAAAAGCCGTAAATATCCTAATGAGGCATGACCAAATCGGTAATGTAGCAACCAAATCCGGCAATGTTGAGAAGTTTCGGCGCTACCAGCACAAAGAACCCGACTAGTTGCCACATCATCCGCATAATAAAGCCCATCTTTTTTAGTACCACGACCAAAGATCTCCCGAGTCTGGATATCCTATAGTAAGACAAAAGACGGATACATCAGTATAACGCAGTTAACTGCTCAGTAACTTGCAGTACAAATAATAAATTACTAGACAAAGATGGAACCAGTAACACTTTGTCCAATGGTAAAGCAGGTGTCAAGAGTATAGAACCAGCCCCTGTGACAAGAGCAACATCATTATTAGCAGTCAGAACATGATCACGATGAGGCGGAAGAGTAGTAGAGAATAAAGCAGAATTATATGTCATATGGTCAGTAGCTCCTGAATCAATAATCCAACCTGTATCTCAGGTATCATGGGCATGGAAAACCTTGCCAAAGTTACCTGGAGGCGGAAGTGTTGGAGTGCTTGAGATGGCGGTCAAAGTCGGTGGAGGAGTAGCAGTAAGGTGGTCGTGCCTAGTGGTGATGTCAGCCACAGAATTGGGGGCAACAGCCACATGAGCTTTGCTGTCCAGTTGTTCCTTTTTTAAACGCCTCTGCTCTTTCTCCCAATCTAGTACGCCATGTAATGCCCAACAGGTGTATATAGTATGTCTCTTTTCACCACAGTGATCACACTTCAGTTTGTCTTTTACTGCAGAAGTCAGGCGACGAGGCGGAACATCAGAAGAGCCAGACCCTGTACGCTGAGAAACCAAAGCAATGTTTTTGGAAGCAAACACAATAGTAGGTTTCCCAATCTTGGTGCCGGATCCAAGCATAGTAATTTGGCGTTGGGCCTCTCGACGAACCATAAAAAATACATTTTCAATACTTGGAACTTTATCACTTCGTAGAATATCCCTTCGGACCTTTTCATAAGTATTGTCAAGGCTAGCCAAAAAATCATACACACGATCTGCCATAACAGCAGCCTGAAAAGTATTCATATCATCAACACACTTCATCTGAAAAGGACGTCTCTTGTCTAATTCAAGCCAAATTGCCTTAAGTTCGGCAAAATAGGTAGAGACAGGACGACCCTCTTGCTTGAGACAAGTAGCCTGGCACCGCAGTTCATAGAGCTGGGATATATCAGAGCCATCATAAAACATCTGATTAACAGCATCCCAAATTTCCTTAGCAGTAGTTAGAGTATGAAACATATTCAACAAAATGGGTTCCATAGTTCGCATCATCCAACTTTTCACAACAGCATCATCAATTTTCCACTTCCCAAATTTTGGGTCTTTAGAATCAAGGGCATCAGTGTCGCCAGTCAGGTAACCTAATTTGCATTGTGTAGTAGCATGAAGTTCGATCATCGAAGCCCATATCTTATAGTTGGATCCATTCAATTTGAATCCCATAGGTAGGTTGGTGGACGATTCAGTATGAACCGTCACAATAAGAGTAGAAAAAGAAGAGTTAGTGACATCTGACATGGTGATAGATAGCGGCGGCAACAAAAGATTAGGTGACGACGACGACAGTAAGAGATATAAGACAGCACATGCTTTGGTGTATAGGCTAGGTGCAGTGGAAATAGGTATTTTTAGGATTAGGGTTTTGATGTTGTAGAGACGGATCGGAGCCTGCTCTGATACCAACTCAAAATAATTAGGGTTTAAAACTGATATGTTTATTCTTCTCTCAAGGAGGAATATATATACTACATACAGAGTGGTTACAAATAGGAAATATGTACAAAATCTCCTAATTCTACTCAAATTAGATAATTACAATAAAACAGAAATTCTATTCCTAATAGGAACGTTGACTCACGCCAACATTTACATGTGTGGCTTGGTGTTTGAGGACTTGCTGGAGCAGGGTGGTTTGGGTGAGATTGAGAAGAACAACAAGTGGAAGACTAATCTTTTGTACAACGCCCTTGATGAGAGCAAAGGGTTTTACAGGTGCCCAGTTGAGAAGTCTGTGAGGTCATTGATGAATGTGCCCTTCACGCTTGAGAAGTCAGAGTTGGAAGCTGAGTTTGTGAAGGAGGCAGCTAAGGGTTCAGCTAAGGAGAAGATGGTTCAGCTCAAGGGGCATAGGTCAGTGGGAGGGATGAGGGCTTCTATTTATAATGCTATGCCTCTGGCAGGGGTTGAGAAGTTGGTTGCTTTCATGAAGGAATTCCAGGCAAAGCATGCTTATGATTTAGTAGCATACATTACTAGTAGAGTTGTTAGCATGTTTGGTCTGTTGTGTTTGCTATATGTTTGTTGTTGAATGTGAGTGGACAACAGCAAGAACTGCATATGTTTATGAAATTTTTGTCGTGTGGGATGAAGTTAATGCCCTAACAAGTTTAGGAATTTAGGCCAATATCCACTGTTTAAAACTTTGTTGTCAAAAGCTGAGAGTAATGAATAATTCAATTCTGGGCTCTTCTTTCATATCAAGTTAAACCTCTCTACTTCTTGGGGCAATCGTGCTGTATCCGAGTAGAAAAATCCTTAGTAACATCGCATGTAGGGAGACTGAATGTTTATTGAAAAAAAGGACCCATCATCAACATCTGCCTGCAAACCACCAGATGCTAAAATGGAAAATGGATGGTCCCCCAACTCAGAAATTGATTCACAACCATGGAACTCATCACTTCAATGGCAACGCGAACAAGAGTGAGTCAGAGACACAACCAGCTGCCTGCTGAGGCTTTATGTCAAATATGAGTTACCTTTGCCAGTTCATCTGCAATTTCAATTTCGTATATGCTCAATTCATACACATTCTATAATTTACTAAGACTTTCAAAAAGAATTTCCAAACTCAAATCAACCAAGCCAAAACAACCAATTGTTGGCTAAAATGTGCAAAATCAAGGCTTCTTGATACCTGTTGGCTATGCCGCCGATTCTCACTCCAGCTCCTCAATTTCCTCCTGAGTTGAAACAAAAAACATGTATCAGAACTGACCTAAAGAATAGTAGTAATCAAGATGAGGGATTACATAGGAGTTCAGTTTTCCTGTTACCATAGAAAACCAGGGACAAAAACATAGAAAAACAGAGAAATAAGAGAGAAAAAAAAAATCACCTTGGTTATAACTTATATCAATAAGCCATTTCGGTCCGGCCCGGTGCACCTTAGAAAGCCCACCCCATTGACGGGCCCTAACCTATTCTGTTACCTCATCCATAAAAGGACGCCACATCTCCAACCCTCAATGTTTTCACGTTTTCTTCTCTTTGGGCGCCGCATTCCCATTCTGAAATCTCCGCTTCTCGACGTGGCTTTCTTGCACTCTCTACCCTTCCGATTTCCCCGGTTCAGTTCTTTCTCAGCCAAATAGACATCTCTTGACTAGTTCTGTCCAACTCTCAAACGGTTACAGCTTTGCCTCTTCTTCTGTGTCACTGTAAGTTGTGAGAGCTTTGAACTTCAAATCCATCTAAGCTTTTGAAATTAAACACTGCCGGCTCTCTTTCCTCGGAGAATAATTAAACACCGCCGTCTCTCTTCCCTCGTATTTTGATAAGTATTTATCTAAAGTTTTGTTAACCGGAAGAGATGGTGGATCAAGTCGGATCGACGAAGATCGAACAAAGTTCTATGGAATCGGATCGCCTCCCGAAGTGGCTTCGTGGGCTTTTTTCCAAACCCTCCGATCGAGTCGGATCGACGCAGATCGGACAAAATGAAATGGAGGTTCCTACGTCTGTCGTAGATGCGGCTTGGCAGCGGCTTGAAGAGATGTGCCCATCGTCGAAGCAGTTTCGTGGGATTGAATCCAAACCTTCCGATCGAGTCGGATTGACGCAGATCGGACAAAATGACATAGAATTCAGTTCGCGGCTTCCCAAGTCTTTCATGGAGGGGTATTGTCAGCGGATTGAGGAGCGTTGTCGGCGGATTAAAGAGGAGTACAGAGAGATTAAATCCAATCCCTCCCCCTATTTTGCGTGCCGCATACTCGAGCGGAACTTACGTGAATGGCTATTTGGAATCAGAGGCCCTAGCGGAACTGAATACGTAGGTGGGATTTATATTGGGAAGATCCTCTTCCCGAAGGAGTACCCATTGAAGCCTCCTTCATTCGTGTTTCTTACGACAAATGGTCGCTTCAAAACCCACAACAAGATCAGGATAAAGCGACTGGATGAGTGGCAGCCATCATGGTTGATGCGAGATGCTTTAGATGCACTTATCGAAGAAATGCCTACCGACCCAGATGGTGGTTCAGTAGAATATAGTAAGAAACAAAGGCGAGAGTGGGCACGCAGCTCTCGTGCAGCCGCCCCAGAATGTAGCAGTCCTGAACGGCAGAAGCTAGTTGAAGAGATTCATAATTATCTGCTAAGCAAGTCATCACCTGATCCTGTTCCTTCCCAAAATCATGGAGCCAAAAGAAAGCACGGCACAGGCAGCGGCGGCGGCGCAAACGGCTCTGTCGTGAATGTTATTGGGAATATATTTAATGCAAATAATTCAAAGGGAGTAGGGATTTTGGATTCTATGAATGAGGCCTCCAACCCCAAGAAAGCAAAACTAGACGACCATGTTTAGAATGCCAATTCTTCAGCCCAACACTTGTGTTTTAGTCCACCGTTGGTTCTGTAGGTAAGAATAAGTAGTTAGATTCAGTATGAATTGCCCTCCAGTCGAAATCATTCGAATTTTATTTTAATTTGTGTGCATATGTTCATGAAATTCTTGTCGTGTGGGATGAAGTTAATGCCCGAACAAGTTTTAGGAATTTAGGCCAATATCCTCTGTTTAAAACTTTGTTGTCTGAGCTGAGAGTAGTGAATAATTCAATTCTGGGCACTTCTTTCATGTCAAGTTAAACCTCTCTACTTCTTGAGGCAATCGTGCTGTATCGGAGTAGAAAATTTTTGTCTGCCTGCAAACGACCAGATGGTGAACTGGAAAATGGACGGTCGGCCAACTCACAAATTGATTCACAACCATGGAACTCATCACTTCAATGGCAACGCGAACAAGAGCAGCTGCCTGCTGAGGCTTTACGTCAAATATCAGTCACCTTTGCCAGTTCATAAACAATTTGAATTTCGGATATGCTCAATTCATGCACATTCTCTATAAGTTACTACAACTTTCAAAAGGAATTTCCAAACTGAAATCAACCCAGCCAAAACAACCAATTGTTGGCTAAAATGTGCAAAAATCTAGGCTTCTTGATACCTGTTGTTGGCTATGCAGCCGACTCTCACTCCAGCTCCTCAATTTCCTCCTGAGTTGAAACAAAAAGCATGTATCAGAACGGACCTAAAGAATAGTACTAGTAATCAAGATGAGGGATTACATAGAAAAACAGAGAGATAAGGGAGAGAAAAAAAAATCACCTTGGTTATATCAAGAAGCCCATTTCGGCCCGGCCCGGCCCGGTGTTCCTTAGAAAGCCCAGCTCATTGACGAGCCTTTGAACAATCTGCGTCTCTTCAACTTGGTAATTTACTTATTTCATCATGTAACAAGAAAAAAAAAACGTCAATAAATAATTGATCTTTTTTTATGGTAAAAGAATTGAGCTTTATATGTAGTAAATAGCGTACCATGTAATAAAATAGCTATACATTTAAATAACTAAGTTTAAATACGTATGTAAATGGGTCGAAGTACAATATTTTGCGTTTCAATGTGGAGTTAAATATCTAACTATGAGGTACATGTAATACCTACAACATAGGTTGAGAAGCAAATAGATTTAAGTCAAAAACACAAGTAGAACCAAACCAAACTCATTCGAGCATGTATCATACCTACAACATAAAATATGAAACACCAAAGAGCCAAAATCGTAAACAAACAACCATCTTACCATTCTTAATTGCCAAATACAAGGCTACTCATTGGATTTACATCAAAAATTACAAACGTGTTGGTTTTTCCTAATCGACCCCAGAACACTTGGGTTTCTATCTAATTTTCTTTCTTTTTCATGTAATCGCCCATTTGGGTAGGACAAGCTTGATGAGAGTACACTTATGAGCGGTCATCGTCAAGTTTGTAGTGGAATTATCAAAATATTTAATCTTAAAAAAATTGCTTGACGGAATGCCTTCTAGAACGAGAGTGAAGAAAGAAGGGTAGAGAATGTCTTTTTCCTCGATAGCCAGTCGCGTTATATATCACTGTACCCACCCCATCTCTCTCTCTCTCTCTCTCTCTCTCTCTCTCTCCCCTCTTCTCTTCTCCCCGCCTCAAAACACCAAGAAAAAAAAAACCCAGATCAAGAATTTTAAAACCAAAACTCAATCCGAACCCAAATCAAGGGAGGTTTGAGTTCATGGTCCTTTGCTCTATGTATGTGAGTGAGATTGTAAGATTGGATTTTATTTTGGTGGGAAGGTGGGGCTTTGATTTTCTTTGGCTGGACATGACGGAGTGGGGAAGCTGGGGTAAATAATGTAAATGAGCAGTTTCTAGTCAAAAAATGAAATAAACGGAAACAACAGTGCACTTTATGAAAAAACATATCCTCAAATTTGAATAGAAACCAAAAGAAAGACATGTTCAAAGTACTACAACTAATATAAAAAACACATTTAACTCCATGAGCAGTTGTAACGTTGCTATACACTTCCAATAAAGTTTATGAAACTAGTAATTGGAATGCAGTTTCTGCTAAAACTGAAACAAACAGATGCATTTTATAACATAATATCTAAACAAATTCATGTCAATCAGCATTTGTAACATTGTCATACTTCCAAAAACATGTAAGTCGATATGAACGAAAACAGGTTTCAAAGTACTCATACCTCAAGACCTAGGACTGCCAAAAATCTCCACAACCAAACAGCAGCTCAAAATCGAATCTGAACACAAAACGAAGAAGATGGGGTTTAGCATTGAAATCCACAAGATCGCGCCACAAAATCGTGCAACAAAACTGAGCTCGAAATACCCGAACTAAGGAGAACAAAAATCACTCAAAACTAACCCTCATTCTGCATGCAAATCGAACAAAAACATAGCAGAAAAAAGAAAAAAGAAAACTAAAGAAAAATGAACGAAAGCCTACCAGCAAATTGAAGCTCCAATGACAGAATGAGAACCAGAGCTCCAAAACCTCAAAGCCGAAGGAAAACAAAAGAAAAACCAAGACCAAATCGTGCGTAGTTTAAACAGCGGGGGTAATTGAGTCATTTAGTTTAATAGGTTTAAAGATAGGCCAGACTTTTTAAGAAAAACGATAAAATTTTCTTTTCAGTTTTTATTTTTAAGCTGGCCCAACGAATTTGGGCTTCCTCTTTGGTCTAATCTAAAATAGCAATAATTTATTAGGTATTAAAATCCAAATCAAAATACCCAACGTCTCACATACTAATTAGTAAAGTTAATTATGTATAATACCTAATTTTTCTTTGATTTAAACCTAAAGTTTCTAAATATTTAGATGATAATTTTCATTACAAAATAATTAGGTGATAACGAAAGAAAGGCGGATTCTGGAAAAAAAGAAAAAAAGAAAAAAAAAAGAAAGGCAGAGTGTTTGTTTAGTATGTTTTGAATTAATGCGAAGACATTTTGGATGATTGATTAATGGGGTTCGAGGTACATTTGAAGCCTATCTTCGGCCACCCCAAGGTCGAGTGGGCGGCGGGTAACGCTTCTACTCCGCCGCGTCGGTTCTTGTTCCACGTCCATGCCTCCCCTGATTCTCTGCACCTCAGAATCCATGTCACTGATTTCCACTGCGACACCTGGGAGGCCGTACGATCGGTTTCCCAGCTTGACGACATGGTTTGCCTCTGACCCTTTTCTTCCTCATATTTCGATTTTAGAGGCACCCAAATATTTATTTATTCATTTTGTTTAAATCTTCGCATGTAACATAGTTAATGGTTAAGAAATAATGCTTAGTTAGGGACCGGATGAATTATTATCCAGTTCGGGAAGTATAGTTAAATGTTCTGTTTTGTGGTTAAAGTTCAGGCTTTTACTGGAGTTGCTGATGGGTTGTAATGGTTGGAAGTAACTATAATGATTGAAACCTCCATCAACCTTTCATTTATTTCTTTTTTTGTGGGTTTTTTTGGATTAACTTGCTCTAACCTCATGTGTAGCGGGACAGCATAGGAATAGGAGGCTCCTGGTCAGACTTCATAGACTATCTTATAGCTTCCGTAAAATCCGAAGATGTAAAGCTTGTTTTGGAGGGACATTCAAACTCCGACGGTAGGCATTAGCCTTCCTTTTTTTTTTCTTCCTGTCTTTTCCTTTTAACAATGCATGATGGATGCAATACTGTAGGCATTAGCCTTCCTAAACCCTGCTTTTGTAATAGTGTATAACTTCTTGACAGTGCTTTGGTCATGGCAAGAATAAGTACAAGAAAGTATTGATGTCAATCCTTTTTTTGGTGAAAGTATTGATGTCAATCATTTAGATCACATGGACAGTGTGAATTCTGTGCTAACCCTTTAACAGAAAGTGTTACACAAACGCATTCTTGTATCTACATCACCATATAGATGGAGAAACTTTGATAAGGGAAATATGCTCATTGCTTACATCATCCGTGCTATGTGTCTTACAGGTGCTGCATATGCAAAACTAGTGGCTCAAAAATCAAAAGGGATGCCATTAATTTCCATTTCTCTTACAAAACTTGTGGGGACTGCTGGTAGTGAGGCTATTGCAAATCTATCTCTTCAGCTCTTTGAAGAATTCAAAAGCATCCATGAGTTTTATGTGGAAGGTTGTCTTCTCATTTCGATGCAGCAATGTGTGTTTGTTATCGATAAGCCTGTATTCTCATTTCCTTTCAGCAACATGTGTGTGGGCATGTGTTGTGTTTTTTCTGAATTCCCTTTTACAAAATTGGGGGTGAAAAGCGGGAAGGGGAAGGTTAGGGTTGATAAGTTGTTCATTGATGAAATGTCGACAAGTAAAGAAATCAAATGTCAATAAGTAAAGAATTTCAATTGAAGATGCAGAAATTAAGTTTTTCACTACTTCACTAAATATGTTTATACCTATGTGTCTGTTAGTGCATCTGCACGAGTTGCCTTAGTTCTATATTTGTTGGGTCACATTTGTTTTTGAGCCACGATTCCGGATCTTAAAGCCCTTCTTTGTGCATTACTGCTTGATGTGTGTACTTGGCACACATCAGAAATATCTTGTGCTGGAATTGACTGTTACTACTTTCTCATTGTGCCCCAGAAAAACAGCGCTCTTTTGAATTGTCAAAAGCGATATCAGCTGAAAAGGTATGTCTACCAATACTCTATGGGTATTCATGCCATGCTCCCACAACACAAAGACATGGCAACATGTCAATTTTTTTTTCTGCCATACTCAATTTTATGTCTACATGTTTGCATTTGAAAGAATATTTGAGATGCATTCTCACACATGTACAAACGTATGATATATGATCATTAATTCTTTGCAGTACTCAGTTTTCATCTACTTTTGGCATATCATTGGTGTGACTTTTGTGTTGTATGAAAGTGGTATTAGAAGTCTGGTATGTGCAATTGGGTTCAACCACTGATTTCAAAATGCAGCAATACTAGTGTTTTGTTCAAGTCAGACAACATAAGTTGATGCAAGGGAAACACATTGATGCCAAGACCACCATCCACTTTACAGTCATATACGTTCAATATTTAGTGGGACAATGAATAAACCCATACTCAGTTCCAATTCAGTTGTTATTTGGTTTACTGAGAAAGTTGCACATTAAATGTGAACGAGGCCAATGGCCACAAAGAGACTGGTTTCAGACCAATTGGTGGTGATCTGAACCTTATGTGATACTATAATTAAATCTTTACTATCAGCAATTTGATATCAGAATAGGTTATGTGACTCGAATCACTAATACAATTCGGATAATAATAATAATTGAACTATGAAATTCTCTGATTTGACATTATATCTAAAGGTCTGTTCCTCTTCTTCAAGTTATAGTTTAGATTATGGAGACCGAGTGCTGCTGTAGAAAACAGGCCAATAATAATAAAAAGTTCATTTTACAAGTGGGAGTTTGTGGATTTGTTGTTACTTTGCTGAGCATTAATTTTAAATAGTAGTGCGGGATTTTGGTCACTAGTAATGTGTTATTTCTCCGGAGTTATTGATTATTTGAAATTTGTGGCAGGCATATTATAGATCTGTTAGCTTTTTTGTCCACTAATTTATCTTTAAATTATCATCAGGCCATTCCTTACTAAACTCTGTTCTATTTTTATGTTAGGAAAGAAATGCTAGTATCCAGAGCCAACTGGAGCAGTATTCCAAGAGGCAAAAGTTACAAAGGATTAGTTCCTCAGATAAAGTAGATGTTTCTGGACTATTCAGTAATGGTTTGAAAAGTTCTCCGGGTAATTCTTTCTGCCTGAAGTGTGTACCATTTTGGTAAAGTGATAAGTTCTGTATTTTCAAACAGAAGATTGCCATGTGTGTGTGCACTTTGTTATTAGTAAGAAAAATTACAAATAAAACTAAATTGTGGATCACGTTTCTGGAACTTGATAGGTATGTTGGGTTAACTTTTAAATATCTTCTTTCATGGAAAATCTCTTTTGTTGAGTGCATCTCCATTTTGCCAGCTATATACATGTCCTCTTTTGGGTGTTTGTTGAACTTCTAATTGTCAGAAAATAATTTATCCACATGCCTTTGCTGCTAATATTCATTCATTCTCCCCATCAGCAATTGACTTGATAGCACATGTAAGGCAGAGGACCTTTTTTTAAAGGTCTCTTTTTGTGTGTTGTTGCACGGTTGATCACTCTCCGAGGAGCGATCAGTTTAGAATTGTTTATGTGTTCAATCAAAGAGCGAAAATAAGCCTCTTCACTCTCAAAGGGTAATTCAAAAGCTCAGCTGCATTTGTGTATGTCATTCATAGTGCATGGTAATTTTGGGATTCAGTCGATTTCTTAACCTTGTGAGCGAAATACTGTTCAGGCATCAATATTCAATAGAGCTCCTCCAAATGTCAACTTCTCATCTTGCATCATATCTTTCTATTGAGCTTTTGATATTTTATTTGATTGTCTTTTCATTGTTTCCTCAGCATTTTCAGATTCCCTGCTTACAGATTGACTTTCTTGTTACCTGCCAATAATTGGAATTCTTCACATATCAATTGTATTATTATCAAGTGTCAACTGAATATCTATTTGCCAATACTGCAGATAAGGAAGCAGCTCGAGATATAAACTCAACAACAGTTGCCAATCGGGTTGTGCCTGCATATCGTAGGTAAGTTGGCCTCTCGAACACTGTTTACCATATGCATCCATTATCTGGGTATTTCCACCGTTCAATACCGTATTCCATATGTTCTCCTTACATAAATAACTGTCTATATTCTTTGGCAGGGCAAAAGTAAGAGGTGCCCTTCTGCAGGATACAGAAGAGGAACACAAGTGAAAGCTGGGGTGTCTTACAATTTGGTGTGCACCCTGTTGTGTGAATTAATTATAATATTTTTTTTTCCCCTGTTTCTGGTACAAAAGTTAGATTTAGGTTTCTGTTTTTCATCCTTTAGACCAGGCTGTAGGACAATCAGGGAAAAAAACCATGCCTCTTTTTATTGCCATGATAAATATTTGAAGCTCTCGTTTTCCGCAAGTGCTTGCAATTTTGTACCAGTGCTAATCTAGAAGACCTTTTACTTTGTAGTAGGAAAGCTTTTAAGATAATTAGAGGTTGGCTATTGATTGAATTTATGAGCATTTAAATGGCCAGCCTCTTTCCATCGCAATGCTCCAATTGCAACCGAGAGACTATATATACCAGGAGATCATTAGAAGCTTATTGGATTGGATTCTGGTTTGTATTTTCTGACCCAGTTCATTGAATCTTGCTCATCCTCCTAACCCAAGCTACTTCCTAAGGTAGTTTAGTAGATAGAATATAGGGCTCCCAATGCGGAAGAAAAAACAAATAGAAGTCAGGAGTCGAAACTCGATTTTAAATTTCATCTCATTAAAGTGTCATCTCTAAAATTCAAGATACAGCCTATGTAATGCCTCTCTACCACCACCACCTTAGATATCACATCCTTACTGCAGCCATCACCACCACACCTCAACCACCACCATCACTCGTTTATCGATCGATGTTTTTATAGTTAGTTTAAATTATGTATTTAAATCCCACTATAACAAGGAACATTACAAATTCCCATCATTTTAAATGCTCTCAATTTTTGATAGTTGAATTGTTTCTAGTAAAGGTTGTGTTTGGCGTCATTCAATTTTGTTGGGATTTTGAATCACGTATCATTTTATTAGCCAACTTGCAGTTTCTTTTAAAAAATTTGTGTCTAAATTGAACAAGCCTCATTTTCTTTAGGGCATACATACATATGATCGATATACAAATACAGATAAACAAATTGGCAATATTTTCCTTTTACAGTAAGCATCCCTATTGTCTCTTGGTTTTGCTTTTCTTGCTGTGGAAGAAGAACCAGCACCCAGGTAAGGTATTGCTCTCATCAGAAAACCTGCATATTCAACAAAACAAAATCAATTTGTGTTTCTTATCAACAAAAAAATAAAAAATAATAAAAAATAAATAAAATTTCAATTACATACCTAGTTCTGCTGCTGCAGCTGCTGTTGTTTCCCTGATTGTTTTTATTTACTCCTGCAAGGAAAAATGTCCTTATCTTACACCAATCTTTATGGTTTTCCTTTAATGATAATGAAGGGCTTGGGGTAACTTTTGAGGAGCGATTCCCAGGTGACTTTGGTTTCTTCTTTGAACCTAGAAAAGTTGGAAAGAACATCTTAATTAGGAAAGTTTCACATTCCATGCTTGAACAAGTCCTTGATATTTCGTAGCTGCTTTTCTTCTTCACGTTACTCTTTTGCTTCCTGATTTGGACTTCTTCACTGCGAAAGCTGAAAGTTGTCTCTTTGGCATCAGTTTCTTCTTCTCTAACCCCCTGAGCACCTTGTTGCTCATCATCAACAATATCTTTTAGAGAAAGTTCGTAACATGACTCGGGCATGTCTTGGATCATTTCCATCATCTCCCTCCTACTTTGAGCAATTGCTGCTTGTCTTTGTGACAACGTCGTCATTGTACAAGGATTACTACAGTGGTGGTTGTTGGGGAGCAAAGGAGAAGACTCATCTTCGATGTTCCATCTCAGCAACGTGTTCGTTTCCCAGAAATCAAAGTCTTTTTCTTCTGCACTACCGGGACGACTGCTGCGGACATGGCAGCTTGGAGAGAGATGATTCCTAGGAAAGTTTTGACACTGGTCAAGATCAAACATGGTAGTATATGAAACGAAGAAAGAGAATATGTAGGTGCTGAAACGTTAAGCAATTTTTTTTTTTTTTTTTTGTGAGTGTGGGAGCTACAAGTAGTATGGCTATGCTAGCTGCTGCTGCTGCTGCAAATTATAATATCATATTATATCATCACTGCGATGATTTGGTCAATGACATTTTCTCCGGAGTTCAATTTAATTATAGGGAGGGAGAACTAAAGTCACTGCCGTCTAAGATGGGAAGGTCAATTAACCAGTACAAATTTTCCAATTTTCCACCACTTGTCTAGCTCCAAGTTTTTCTTCTAGACAAAATTTGATGACTTTTGTAAGTCCTTATTTTTTTTCTTAGCTTCTCTGTCCTGACTTTACTACAGTAATTTCTCTCTCCACCATAAAAATAGTCTTGTCCATTACAGCAAATAGTACTTATTTGCATCTTTAGTACGAATTCATGCTTAACGAGAACACAATTCAATGGTTATTGTGATTACTAGTAGAAAAAGACAACGGTAACAACCGCAATCACGCCAACTACGAATTTGTAACTTAGAAAAATCTGTACTTATAACATGGAAAAATCCGGACTTAGGGTGTGGATAAGTTCATTGAGTTAAAGAAAAATGAATGGTCCAAGTCCTAAAAGCTTATTCAAAACCATTTAAGCTGATTTAGGACTTGTTGCATGCCAGCATGGTGAGAGCGATCCAGATGCCAAAATAAATTTCCTTGGAAAAATTGAGTATGTGATGTTGAATGATGTTCTAGTAGTCAGTGTCGAGTTCCGTAGTCCAACATTTTGATAGGACTTCGGTTTGCAAATTGACTTGTAATTGGGACATTTTGATGTTGAATGATATCCTTTGATCACGGTTTCTAGACCTCTGACAAATCCTTAAGATTACAAAAGTACATATTTTGGCCTCACAATTATTGTGGCCAAAAAGATTTTGTCGTAAAAATTCAATCGAAAAGCAAAGAAATCATTCAACACAAGTTGATCAGCATGAACACAATCCACTTTACTTGAAACTTTCAAATGGTTTTGAGCATCTTCGTTGAGTTTTTTTTTTTTACCTCCAATCATCAACAAAACAATAATTAAACTCAACTCTCAAAGAAATCCATGACAAATTCATGAAATAGGATGAAACATACTAAGACCTCACATGGTCCCTGATAAATTGCTCCACCTCAGATATTTCACCAGTTACACCAGAAGCTTCTGCAACTTTAACTTTGTTCTGGCATTGGGAAAAAGAAAATGGTTCGCCAGGCACTCCAAGTGTAACGTCGTTTGCAATATCAGCTGTTGATATCACACTTCTTGATGCACGCAATTTGTCACTATAAGATATTATATGACAAATACATGAGGATAATGAAATAGATATATAAATCAGAAACTTATACCACAGAGCACTCCCGACAAATGAACAATTAAACAAACAAGGAAAAACAAAAACAAAACAGAATTGAATAAATTCAAAAATTTGTCTTGAATGCATCATGGATGAAAAATACGAAATCACAGCAAAACTGTTAACTGTAAGAACTATATTTATGGAAATAACGAAAATAAAGGATATTTCTTATACAAATAAAAATAAAGAACAAAGATATAGGATATAATTTTCGAGTGCATATAACGAACAATTAATATAATCCCATACACAACCACTGAAAGGCTTGGAGTAGAAAAATATAATCAATCGGATAAAAGACACCCACAGTAAACAAAACTCAAATCTTACATTTCTTTCTCCAATTGTTTTCGAATAAATTCCTTGCTATGTGCTGTCACTTTGTCTGTCTTGTTGCAGAGAATAAGAACTGGAATTTTCTTCCTCACCACACTCACCTTAGTCAAAATATCATACAGGTACCTGTTGCAAATAAAGTGCCATAGGTCAGCCATTATATAAGTGAAAATCTTATGTTGCATGCAAAGCATGCATCTATATTCTTAAACCCCATATTTAGGGTCCTCCATTCATTACTAGCAATTTTACGCACTCTATTGCCTTGGACCAATAGGACTGGCACCCTTTACCACCAAGTGGTAAAATGGATGTAAGCATATGGCAAGCAGAATAGTCATTTTTAAATAAATATCATATATGTAGCTTTATACTGAAAAAAGAAATCTTACTCTGAAGCAGCACGGCAATTTGGTAAGAACTCCAAAGCATCAACCACAAATACTATACCAGCTGCTTGAGGCAGGACATCGTCTAGTTTGGCTCTAAGCCGAGAATGCCCAGGAACATCAATAAGATGAACAGGATTTTCCTTTCCATTCTGTCAGGGACAACCAAAAGAAGGGTGAGCAAAATCAAGTTCCAGAAGGACAATCAACAAAAACAATAGTAGAAAGAAAGGGAAGAATATGTTTGTGGCTAATGTCTTCTGCACATTGAAGGCAAATAGATAAGTTAGATCTGCCCTCATTACAAGCAATATATAATAAAACATGGTTTATTAGCATATGAGCACGAGAAGCTGAAATGTACCTTCGATTTTTCAGAATGGAGCACAAAAGTTCCCTCATTTGGTTCCATTGATGTCACAGTACCATGATGAGAAGAGCCATCCCGCAGCTGGCACGTGCATAAAATCATGCCACAAAAGTTGGATCAACACTGCTATGGCATAAATAGATCATCAAAGAAACTGAAAACGGGGGAAAAAGGACATACTTAATACAAGGCATTTAGAATTTTTAACCAAAATTTATTTCCCAAGTACTAAACAGTATCTTATCACAAAGAATGACAGAGTTCCAAATTTTATCAAAAGGAAAAGGAAACAACATAAACAAAGGACAAACTCAATATTCAAAATAACATGATATTGTCTAACAAAGTTGAGTAATAAGAAGAAACCTGAGATTCTTATTGCAAAACCAGTGTTTTCAGAAGTGAAGGTATGACAGGGCACTTATGTCTCGTCAGGCAAGAATTAAGCCTTGAGTCACATAAGCCTTTCAGGCCTCGAATTAACGTAAAAAATCAAAATACATATTGTCATTCAAGCACATGGTCAGTCGAAGGGTAATATTTCAGGTGGAACAGGCTTCTGCCTCTTATTTGGATGGTTTATTCCCTTTTCCAAATACCCCAGCCAAAGGATGTCGTCTGGGCTGGGAACACTTAAAAAAAAGGGTCCCTTCCACTTTTGCTAAAAAACAGTGAGAAGTATGCTACAATAGAAAGACGTGAGTCTTTGCAGAATTTTGTAGCTCAGATGGATGTCTGAGCCTCAAGGTGAGCCTCATGCACGCCTTTGAAAACACTGCAAAATTAATTAGTGGAAAGCTTGCATAATTTTGAAGTTCTTAATTGGCATAATGAAAATAACCAGTCATATGGTCGAGATGTAATTTGTTTGCATTACATATCATGCACTAAGAAGCATGACGTTAGTCGAGTCCACTACACATTGAGTCTAATAACAATGTTTAAGGAGAACAAAATCCAATAATGTCAATGCTTACTTGATAGAAAAGAACAGTCTTTCCACTCCCGCTAAGCCCAGTCAGCAGTATGGTATTAGCTTTTGGGCGTTTGAACAACCTAACTACAACACAAAAGATATCAATAAATATTATCATAGTAGAATTTTTTGAGAAAGTGAGATAAAAGAGCATACCCAGTAAGAGTAAAAATGAGGTAAACAGCAAGATGGCGACAGCAGCATAAATCTGTTCAGATGGAACCTGATGAATGTATTCAAGGGCTTGAGATGACCATTGCCCTGCCAATTTCTTCAATCGTCCTGCTTGTGTCTTCAATTGTTCTAATCCTTCCATCTTCTTTTGGAATTTTAAGAAACTTTCAGTATGATTTGTGATGAATCCTGACCTCTTCACTCAAACTGAAACCCTTAGGGGAACGCCTCAAGAAGGAATGGAGCTCAAGTAGGGAGAAAGTACACTAAGGGGAGACGGAAATGGGGGTGTTAGGGGCTTCTGATTAGAGAGTTGGCAATTATGGACGAAACAATATGATAGGGGTGTTTGACCAAGTAAACATGGAAAACATATCAAGATCCCAAAAAAGAGTTCCAAATCCCAAGATGTGCAATTCAAAAGACATGACTCCAACTAAAGAATGTGTACACATGATAACATAAACTATCAATCTTATGAAAACCTAGACAATTGTTTGATAAACCAAAAAATTTCAGATTCTCATTGCCTGTTTTAGTATGTTAAAGATACAGTCATAGAGAAAATTTGGTAGAAAATGTTGAAAAATAATGACTCTCAAAATTAAGCATTCTTTAAATTAATTGACAAGGATAAATGACTTTATCGATGAATCAAAGCAGCCGCACAAGTTACATATATCTTACATTGATTTAAAGAATGATGTAGGATATGGGTGAATTGGGTATTTAGGTAGTTTAGCGGAAGCGAAAACAATGGAAAACAGAAAACAGAACAAAAGGGATCACACCAGGGGTTTGGCTTCACACCAAGTAGTCTCCAATCTCTGGAAAATAAGCTTTTCTTTATATCTCAACAACTCAACTCCATAATGAATTACATAGACTGGGTATTTATAATAATCTAACCCTAGAGTGAAAAACAAAATTAAACTTATTCTAGGAAAGAAATCCTAATCCAAATAAAATAGGAAACTCAGAAATCCTACTGAAATCCGGAAAAACTAAAAATCCTAATGAAAATCTGGAAAACTTAGAGAACCTAGGAACTAACAAATAAATTAGGAAACTAATTAATAATTCCCTCTTCCATCTCTTTCGTTTGTAAATCCTAATGGGTTTGACAAAGATGTCCTCATCAAAGAAAATACAGACATTCCCATCTAATGCAAGGACTTAATGGAACAATGACAAGAGTTATTATGAAAAAATCATTACACAAATAAAAATTTCTTATTAAGTCTAAGAGCAACCACAAAAAGAACAGAATCCAGCACGTCACAAATTTGTGAAATGTTCCCTTAGCCAAACTCTAACCAAATATAGGTCTAACATATATACTAAACAAAATGCAATTTAAGTTGTAGTCATTAGGACTCCATGGAGTTTCAAGAGCCACAACAAACTTGGTTTACAAGGATGTGAAGAGCAGAAGTTTCTTGGGGTTAACAAGTGACAACTTAATTAGGATGCTTTGCATGGCATCATTCAACATGTTAGATTCAGTAGTATATGGTTATAAGCAGTAATAAACATGGGCTGAGGTGTGCCCCCGCTCAAATGTTTCTTGAGAAATAATATGTAATGTGTTTGTCTTATTTTACCTTAATATCCTGAAACAATAAACTAATATCCTGTGTGCTAATAAGCTAGCTGAAGTGGTAAGTACTGGCCGTGGGTGTTAGATTAAGCACTTAAACAATAGAACAAAGAAGAATATAAGAGACCAAGGAGAAGAAATATAGATTGAAAAGACGAGATAAAGGGCAGAAACAGTAGAACAAAGAAGAATATCAGAGATTGAGGAGAAGAAATATAGATCGAAGGGACGAAATCAAAGAGTTCTAGGAAAAGGTTTACTCAACATTCAAATCTACATTTTAAAGAACTACATGGGGGTATTTATAGCAAACTAAAACCTAGACATAATAGGATAAAAATCCCTTGCTTAAACAGAAATCCTAACCCAAATAAAAAAGGAAACTTAAAACTAGAAATCTGGAAATCTGGAAAAGTTGAAATCCTACTAGAATTTAGAAAACTAGAGAATCTAGGAGACTAACAAATACATTAGGAAACTAATAAATTTAGGTCCTACGTGTCCTGCATCAGATATACTAATCTATCTCACAATATATAATTCCAAAAACAAATCTTTGTTGCATAATTTTACACTATGGATACAGTAGCAGAGTTAGGCCTTTAACATTAAATAAGGTGTTTGTCTCTGTAGGAGTACGCTATTATGGATACACTTTGATGAGATAGAGTGTTTGGCAGCTGGACTGTGTCATTGATCATGCCTATAACTAGAGTTACTTTTAGTTAATAAAGCCTAAAATTAGAGTTATTTTCAGTTAACACACAAGTGGATTTGCCAAATAGATATTCTCTCCAGCATAATCATGCATCATAAATACCATGACAGTGCTTCTCTAAAATGATTTCAGTTTATTGTATATCTACTAAAGTGCACAGACCCTAGTGAACAATGGTTCAGTCTAAAGCATCACACGATTAATTACCTATCTTTGCAAATTCTAGTGGGCAAATTACATTATTTAATTTTATAGGATACAGAAAGGGTGATTATCTTGATTATCTTGATTATCCCAATTAACTATGACGACCACTTAATGGGCATAGGACAAGCTCCACAGTTAGAAATCTGAACCTACAAATTAATTCATCCTTAATCTAATCTGAAACTATAATCATATATACTAACCATGGAATTGTTCCAAAGAGGTTAATATGAACTAAGAAAATGTATTTAAATTTTTTTCACAATTCAAGAAATTGCAGAGAAAATCACATAAGAATTTTTTTTTTTTAATAGAAACTTTATAATTTCAAAAGAGAGAAACAAAGAAACAAGCAAGTGGATAAGGAATCCACAAGAGAAAACAAAAGAAAAGCTGCAGCCTCCAGAACAAAACAATAAAGGAAACATTTATGGAAACAGCAATCCAATATAAAAATAGACATAATAAGAAAAGTTTGAAAACCTCACTTATGGAAACACCAATCCAATATAAAAATAGACATCATAATATCCAATCTTCTTTATAAAAAATAATCATATTTTGATTCTCTGATGTCTGAGGGTAAGAGAGAGAGTGATCATACCTGAAAATCACAACATAGATCTGAGAGTCTGAACAGATACGGACAGAAAAATGGGGTGGGAACTTTTAAGCAAATTTTCCTCAGTCAAAATTTCGAAATAGTCAAACTTTCTTTCCAATTCCAAATTCTATTGCTTTCCAGAACTGAAATTACATTTATAATAAAAACTAATTAAATTGCTAATGTCACATTACCAATATCTCAATTATTTCATACTCAATTTATCTTATCTTAGCTCGGTTGTTGAGAATCATTCGGGAGTAAACTCCAACTAGGCAGTTTTCATTCGACTATTATATTTTCATTAATTTATACATGGATTCACACCCATGGGGTTCTTTTATTTTTTGGTGACCACTATTTTATTAGCAAAAACACATCAACGAAAAAATGAGCTTTTGCACTGAGAATTTATTCATGTACAGTTATACTAGTCTCTGTAGTTTTCACGTTTCAGAAGCTATTACAGTTTACAAGATACAGAGAAATAGCAGTCATTCAACTACAAAAACTTGGAAAATCATATCCGCTTCCCGTTCCTTGCTATTGAATATAAGCACACCCCATAGAAGCAAATTTTCTTCCCATGTATTTCCACCACACAAGTCTGTAATGTCATAAACCCTAAATCCCTCAAATTCTAAATCCCTAACTTAGAAAAAAAAAAACAGTAACAAAAGTTAAATTAAAAGAAGAAGAATAGTAAAATTGAAGAATTAAAAGAAGAAGAACTTACAGAGCCAGCAGCTGCAGAAGTGGGCACTGGCTGATGGTGAGGTCTGGCCGGCTGAGGATGGAGCGAGCGGCTGGGACGGATGTCGGAGTTTCTTTTGGGGTAAACTTTTGAGTAAAATTATTTTTAACTCCCCAACTACAGGGGTCATTCCATCATTAACGCATGACCATTTTGAAATAGAGGTGATTTTCACACTCATCATTTATTCTCCTTTTACGCTTCTTATAATTGTATTTTTCTCTATTCTTTTGAGTTTTTTTTTATTTAAACCTCGTCCTTCTCTTTCTTCACTTTATGTTCTAAGTTCACCTAAACTTCTAATTAAAATTTTCACACTTTTTTGGAAAACCCAATTATCTTCCCAAATTACTCCTAAATACACACCCAGTAGAAAAAATAAAAAATAAAAAGTTTTTCTATTTAAACCTCTCACTTTTCTTTGTTCACTCCAATACTTAAATCATTAAACTCTTAAGTTTTATTATTGCATAAAGACTTATTATCACAAAACGTCCCTAAGGTTTACAAAACTATCAGATTGCATCCTTAATGTTTTTTTGTGTCATTCGTGGTTCTCAAGGTTAGTATACATGATCACAAATGGTCCCTGCCGTTAGGTTCCGTCAAAAACTCCGTTAGTTTGCTGACGTGACATATATATATATATATATATATATATCACAAAACATCTTTAAAGCCAAACCCATACAAATGAGTCAAGAAATTATGGAATTTTGTAAAAAAGAAATTTCAGAATTACTCCAAAAAGGAATAATGAGGAAAAGTAAGTCACCCTGGTCATGCCCTACCTTCTATGTCCAAAATAGTGCCAAATTAGAAAGAGGAGCTCCCAGATTAGTCATCAATTACAAACCCCTCAATGCTATTCTCGAATGGATCAGATACCCCATTCCCAATAAAAGAGATCTCATTAAAAGAATAGGAAATTCAGTCATCTTCTCTAAGTTCGATATGAAAAGTGGATTTTGCCAAGTTCAAATCAAAGAGAGTGATAGATACAAAACTGCATTTGTCACCCCCTTTAGTCATTATGAATGGAATGTTATGACCTTTGGTTTAAAAAATGCGCCTAGTGAATTCCAGAATATAATGAATGAAATATTCAACCCTTTCAGTGATTTTTCCATAGTTTATATTGATGATGTCCTCATTTTCTCTCAGTCAAGAGAACAACATTGGAAGCATTTACATAAGTTTCTCCATGTAGTCAAATACAATGGTCTAGTCATTTCTGGAAAAAAAGATTAAAATATTCCAAACCAATATTAGATTTCTTGGATTCAACATTTGTTAGTCACAAATTAGTCCAATAGATCGAGTCGTTCAATTTGCTAGTAAATTCCAGATCAAATCCTTGATAAAAGTCAGCTTCAAAGCTTCCTAGTATCTCTCAACTATGTTTCTGACTTCTATCATAATCTAAGAACCCAATATAAGCCCTTGTTCGATAGGCTACAAAGTAACCCTCCTCCTTGGACTCCTAATCACACCGATATTGTCAAACAAATCAAAATCCATGTCCAAACCCTTCCTTGTCTTGGCATTCCCTCAGTCAACTCCTTTAAAATCGTCGAAACAGACGCCTCTAAAATTGGTTATGGAGCCATCCTCAAACAAAAAGCATCTCCAGATCAACCAGAACAACTTGTTCGTTCCCATTCTGGCATCTAGACTCAGTCACAAAGTAATTATAGTACTATAAAAAAAGAAATTTTATCTATTTTATTGTGCTTCTCAAAATTTCAAGACGATTTACTAAATCAAAATTTTTTAGTCAGAGTTGATTGTAAAAGTGAAAAACACGTTTCAGAAAAAGATGTCCAAAATATTGCATCAAAATAGATTTTTGCATGATGGCAAACAATTTTGAGTGTTTTTTATTTTGATATTGAATATTTGAGAGGAAGTGAGAATAGCATTCTCGACTTTCTCACCCGAGAATTCTTACAGGGAAAACAATGGCCGAAAAAAGATCAGACAAGCAAAAGGAGCAAGTCAGTCAACCAGTCAGAACCCTCCCAACATCCATGAATCCAGTTAAATCCGAAATTGTCCCTTTTCCTGGATATTCTCCAATCCAGATTAATAACATATTTACTAGTCTTGGTTCCACAGTCAGTCATATCCTTCCTAATTATCAGTCAGCCCTGGTATCCAGTTATGATCCATTTCAAGTCTCAACCCCACCAGCAACCCAGTCAGCCATAAGCCACAGAAAATCCTCCCCCTACGTCCCAAAGTTCACTAACAAACTCTTCGTCATTGAGTCATGTTACAATAATCACTCTAGTCCCGCAAAAATTGCAAAAGCTTATTTCCCTCCTAATTTCCACTTCATCCCTCAGCACCAGTCAAAATCACTCAAATACTATCAAAACCCAAACCCTTGAAATCCGCCCTATCAAAGACAGAAATAATCCAAAAGTCATCCTCTACCACTCTATGTACATCCACAAGATCATTAGTGAACCTGAATGGGGCGACCACCCTTATTCACTCAAAACCCTTAAATCAACCCTTCAGTATAGTTATTATGATTATATAACTCCGTTAGTTTGCTGACGTGACATATATATATATATATATATATATATCACAAAACATCTTTAAAGCCAAACCCATACAAATGAGTCAAGAAATTATGGAATTTTGTAAAAAAGAAATTTCAGAATTACTCCAAAAAGGAATAATGAGGAAAAGTAAGTCACCCTGGTCATGCCCTACCTTCTATGTCCAAAATAGTGCCAAATTAGAAAGAGGAGCTCCCAGATTAGTCATCAATTACAAACCCCTCAATGCTATTCTCGAATGGATCAGATACCCCATTCCCAATAAAAGAGATCTCATTAAAAGAATAGGAAATTCAGTCATCTTCTCTAAGTTCGATATGAAAAGTGGATTTTGCCAAGTTCAAATCAAAGAGAGTGATAGATACAAAACTGCATTTGTCACCCCCTTTAGTCATTATGAATGGCATGTCATGACCTTTGGTTTAAAAAATGCGCCTAGTGAATTCCAGAATATAATGAATGAAATATTCAACCCTTTCAGTGATTTTTCCATAGTTTATATTGATGATGTCCTCATTTTCTCTCAGTCAAGAGAACAACATTGGAAGCATTTACATAAGTTTCTCCATGTAGTCAAATACAATGGTCTAGTCATTTCTGGAAAAAAAGATTAAAATATTCCAAACCAATATTAGATTTCTTGGATTCAACATTTGTTAGTCACAAATTAGTCCAATAGATCGAGTCGTTCAATTTGCTAGTAAATTCCAGATCAAATCCTTGATAAAAGTCAGCTTCAAAGCTTCCTAGTATCTCTCAACTATGTTTCTGACTTCTATCATAATCTAAGAACCCAATATAAGCCCTTGTTCGATAGGCTACAAAGTAACCCTCCTCCTTGGACTCCTAATCACACCGATATTGTCAAACAAATCAAAATCCATGTCCAAACCCTTCCTTGTCTTGGCATTCCCTCAGTCAACTCCTTTAAAATCGTCGAAACAGACGCCTCTAAAATTGGTTATGGAGCCATCCTCAAACAAAAAGCATCTCCAGATCAACCAGAACAACTTGTTCGTTCCCATTCTGGCATCTAGACTCAGTCACAAAGTAATTATAGTACTATAAAAAAAGAAATTTTATCTATTTTATTGTGCTTCTCAAAATTTCAAGACGATTTACTAAATCAAAATTTTTTAGTCAGAGTTGATTGTAAAAGTGAAAAACACGTTTCAGAAAAAGATGTCCAAAATATTGCATCAAAATAGATTTTTGCATGATGGCAAACAATTTTGAGTGTTTTTTATTTTGATATTGAATATTTGAGAGGAAGTGAGAATAGCATTCTCGACTTTCTCACCCGAGAATTCTTACAGGGAAAACAATGGCCGAAAAAAGATCAGACAAGCAAAAGGAGCAAGTCAGTCAACCAGTCAGAACCCTCCCAACATCCATGAATCCAGTTAAATCCGAAATTGTCCCTTTTCCTGGATATTCTCCAATCCAGATTAATAACATATTTACTAGTCTTGGTTCCACAGTCAGTCATATCCTTCCTAATTATCAGTCAGCCCTGGTATCCAGTTATGATCCATTTCAAGTCTCAACCCCACCAGCAACCCAGTCAGCCATAAGCCACAGAAAATCCTCCCCCTACGTCCCAAAGTTCACTAACAAACTCTTCGTCATTGAGTCATGTTACAATAATCACTCTAGTCCCGCAAAAATTGCAAAAGCTTATTTCCCTCCTAATTTCCACTTCATCCCTCAGCACCAGTCAAAATCACTCAAATACTATCAAAACCCAAACCCTTGAAATCCGCCCTATCAAAGACAGAAATAATCCAAAAGTCATCCTCTACCACTCTATGTACATCCACAAGATCATTAGTGAACCTGAATGGGGCGACCACCCTTATTCACTCAAAACCCTTAAATCAACCCTTCAGTATAGTTATTATGATTATATCTGTTTGGGCCAAAAATTGACACATCCAGCCCAGCGAAAAGAAGGAAGCCCAAAAAACCAGAAGAGTCCAGCCCAAGGCTCATCAGAGCAAACAAAGCTGATTTGGGCCTCACAGGCCCAAACATAATAGGAAGAGGGAGTCCAGCAGAAGGAACAATCCCACGTGGCAACCTCTGGGATAAAAAAAAAAGTCAGCAATGGCGGAAGTCAGCAAGGATAAAAAAGTCAGCAATGGCAACCTCTGGGATGAAAAAGTCAGCAATGGCAACTGTCATAGAAGAAGTGATTGAAGGGTTCATGACATCAAGTTGATTCTGAAGAACTGAAGATCAAATCCCTCGTATATAGGTATATTCAGAGATTTTGCTTCTGTCTGCTCAGAGAAGGTAATTCTCCCAAGAAGATAAGCAAGTTACAATCTCAGAGAGGGATAAGCAGGAAAGCAGGGAGCTGTCCAGAAAAGGAATCAAACTAACCATCACGGGTAAAATATCACAAGGGGCAGCTGAAAAACAGGGAAGTGATCGCCTATCTGAGAGCCTATCTGCCAAAACTAAAGAAGAAGAGGAAAAGGGGGGAAAATATCTTTGCCGCCCAATAAAAAACACAATCACCCTACCCCAGAGAAGAAACAGTTTACTATAAATACAAGGAGGGGTGAACAGGGAAAAAGACACTCAAA